ATCAATCTCCAGGCACCTTCTGAGGAAGCTTCTGTCTTCCTCCCGAAGGCGACCAAGCGACGCTCCGTGCTCAGCTATGCTTGCCGTCCCGCTGCCATGCCATGATATGGCCCTCGATGACGTCGTTCCACGGCGAGTGAGCCTGGACCTTACATAATGATACCTCGTCGAGGGCACCGCCCCCAGCGGCCTGCTGCCACAGGTGCGCGCGAACCTCGGACGCGCCCTGTGCGCGAGCACATTCTGCCCACAGTCGTATAGTGTACCTGCCGGCCACACTTCGAGCCGCCACTCAAACGGCACAGTCTTCGCCATCCCGCGCGCTCTGCTCTGGGCAGAGACCGCGCGGGGTCGCCCCCTGCAGCGTGCCCTCGGGGCCTAGGCTGAGCATCGAATGCTGCGAGGCCCACCCCGCCGAACGCAGAGTCGGCCACTCGGTGTCGAAGCACGCGCCGTCCGTAAACATGTGCCCACCATCCAGCACGAGGCCCGTCACTGGACAGGCCCTCGCTCGAATTTCAGCTCCTGGGGGGAGGGGGGGGGCGTAGGGCGGAAGCAGAGGGAGGGGCCGGGCACGAGAGCGCGCGCGAACCTCGCACCCACTTCCCGACCCCCTTCCTGCACAACTGCGGCCGCCTCGGCCAGATCAGCATCAACATTGCCAGTCCTCCATGCCTGGTGGGCCGGGCACCGAACAGATCTGTGATGAAGCGTGCCAGGCCGGTCTCGGCAGCACTGGCACAGATCCTACAGCCTTGGCCCACCCCCCCGCCGTCGCGAGCCGAGCCTGGCACCAATGCGTTCCCAGAAGCAGGCCACGCTGCGACCGCTGGTGGTGGGTCGTCCACCCGCGGCTGGGGGGTACGAAAAGAAATTCGTGAAGCGGCCTCCAGAAGACAGGGCCAATCCATGACCGCTCTCCTGGATGCAGGAGAGGCTGCGTGGCGTTGCCATCCGCAGCAGCTCTGCACACGTGCTTCACCTCGCAGAAAAATTCAGGCGAACAACTCGAGCATCCCACCTCTGACTAAGCCTGTCGACGACGACGAAGGGGGAGTCGAGGCTCCAACCGACGCGCGACAGAGTCAGCACCAGGGCCGCGACAGGGTCCCGGACCTTGGACCAGGCAGCCCTCTCGGCCGCCACCGCGCGGCCGCCATCCAGCAACGTCTGCAGGAACGCCTCAGTGAAACACCCCCTGCCAGATCATTTCCACGCAGGTCTTGATCGCCAGAGACGTCACGAGAACGAGCGGGTCGCGCCACCGACCCGCCCTCCAGCTGGAGCTCGCGATGCCGAGGGAGGCCCCGTGGGCCAATCGCCCCTCGGCCCTCAGCGCAGCCAGTCTCAACCCCTTGAGCTTGCCGCTGGGGACGCCGTGAAGAGCCGCACTCCACAGGCCCACAGCGCTGGGCCCTGCACGTTGCACAGCGCCGACGACCGCCCTGGCATGCCGTGGCAGCCGTAGCAAGGGCAGCGCGAGCCTGGCTCTCGGCGGATCGCCCGTGTTGGGCGCCGACGCGGCGAAGCTTACCCGCTGTGGCGTCGCCGCCCAAGTCCTGGTGCACGTGGGGCCGCTGGTCCGTGGTGAGCTCCCACTCCTCGCACAGCCTCCGCGCAAGCTCCGTCGAGCTCGCGAGGAAGCCCGTTTTATGCTCGGCGATCGGCAGGTCCAGGGCCTCGACCGCCTCGCGCAAGTAGCCGCGCCTGCGCGCGAGCTGAGTCGTGACGGTCTGAATGCCGCCAACCGCGTGCATCGAGGTGTCGTCGATCACGTCGTTGATGCTCACACTGGGCGCAAGCAGCGACGCTTGCCTGAGCACCGCCAAGAAAATCAACCTCGGCAGCGAGCTCGCGCAGGAACGGCCAACAGTAGCACCGCCGCTGGCCACCAGCTCTGCAGCAGCGCGCGCCGCGGGGCGCGGTAGGTGCAGAGAAGGGCCCGCAGCAACCGGCAGCTGAACCCTGCATGCGCCGCCGCGTGCCTCAAGGCCTCGTTCCCCAGGTGCTCGTACAAGCGCGACATGTCCCCGAAGATCGTGGCCGAGTGCATCCCCAAGGCCGCCTGTGCCACGATGGGGTGCCCGGCGCCGCTCTCGGCTCGTCGGCCTCGAAGACAAAGGCCGGTGGCGCCGCAGGCCCCTTGGAGATGCGGTGGGCCACTCTGCTTCCCTTCGCGGATGCGCCAGCGGCGAACTCGGTCCACTTGTACACTCGCGCGCGGTGCTGATCACCCTCGCGCGCCACTTGCACAAAGGCCAGGAGGAGGAGGAGGAGGATTTGGGGCAGGACATGGCGGAGGAGGGACGGATGAGAAGAGAGGGGCAAGACGAGGAGGAGGAGAAGGAGGAGAAGGAGGAGGAGGAGGACGAGCAGGAGTATGAGGGGCAGGGGGAGAAGGAGGGGGGACAGAAGAAGGAGGGCGATGAGAGTGAGGAGGTGCATGAAGAGGTGGTGGAAGAGGATGCTTTCTTGCACGCACCATGTTTACCTCAGGTTGGGCGAAAGATAGAGGAGGAGGAGGAGGAGGAGGAGGAGGAGGAGGAGGAGGAGGAGGAGGAGGAAGAGAACGAAGAGAAGGAAGACGACGAGGGGGAGTAGGAGGTAGAGCAGGAGAGGACGAGGAGAGGGTGAGGAGATGGATTGGGGCCGACGGCGGTCGAACCCCACAGAGAGTCGCCATGAAGGGAAATTCTTCCTGAGGGAACCGGGTCCTATAGACCCCGTGGCTCTCCCCAGGACCACTGCTTCGAGCTGGGCAGGTGTTGGACAGCCGTGGGGCCCGCGGCAGGCCCCCGGCGGCACGAGAGCGGCGACCCCCCTTTCGGGACGTTCCCTTCCTTGGGGACCCGCTCTCCTCTGGCTGCAGAGATAGGGGGCCACATGCGAACCCTACCCCCTTACCCCCCACGATTTCTGAGGGGGAGGGTGGGGTTCGCTTCGCTTCGCCTCGCTCCTGAGCGAAGTGAACCCCACCCTCCCCCTCAGAAATCGTGGGGGGTAGGGGGTAGGGTTCGCATGTGGCCCCCCTAAGAGAGCCACCCAAGGAAAGCGGAGCAGCAGCAGCCCCAAAAGAGATCAAACGCTTGATTGCGTCCGAAACGCACGCCCGACCCGGCGCCCTTCGACGCCCAGGCGACGGCAGCGCGGGCAGGGGCCCCAAGGGCGTCAGGGGGGGGGGGAAGGACAGGTGGAGGGCAAGAGAGCGCGTAGGTGGCTGTCGGCGAGCCGGAGGGGAGCGGGGAGGGGAGGAGGGAGAGATTGGGGGGGGGGAGGGGGGGGGGAGGGGGAAAGGGAGGAGAGGAGGGACGTCGGAGATGGTCCGAGAGGAGGGGGATGATACGGAGATGGTCGGAGGGGGGCGGGGGGAGCGGGGGGGGATGGAGACGGGGAGGAATGGGGAGGAGACGCAGGGACGAGGGAGGGGAAGGAAGGAGGAGGATGAGGGGAACAAGGAGAAGATGTGGAGGAGAAAGGGCATGAGAAAGACGAGGAGGATGAGGGGACGGAGAGTTGGAGTAGGAGGAGAGGATGAGGAAAGAAGGAGGAAAGAGGAGGAGAGGAGGTGATGGAGGAGGAGGAGGAGGAGGAGGAGGAGGGAGGAGGAGGAGGAGGAGGAGGAGGAGGAGGAGGAGGGGGAGGGGGAGGGGCATGGGGGAGGAGGAGGAGGAGGAGGAGGAGGAGGACGAGGACGAGGACGAGGAGGAGAGAGGAGGAGGGAGGAGGAGGAGGAGGAGGAGGAGGAGGAGGAAGATACGGAGGAGGGGAGGAGTAGGAGGAGGAGGAGGAGGAGGACTACGGCGAGGAGGAGGAGGCGGAGGAAAAGGAGAAGGAGGAGGAAGGAGACGATGTGGAGGAGAAGGAGCACGAGAAAGACAAGGAGGATACGGAGGAAGAGAGGAGGAGTAGGAAGAGCGAGTGAGGAGAGGCAGAGGAGAGGAGGAGGAGGAAAAGGATGAGAAGGAGGAGAAGGAGGAGGAGGAGGAGGAGGAGGAGGAAGGGGAGGAGAGGAGGAGGAGGAGGTGAGGAGGAGGAGGAGGTTCGGTCTAGGTCCGCGCAACGTGAAGAGGAGGAGGAGGATGAGGAGGAGGAGGACCTGGGCGAGGAGGAGGAGGAGGAGCAGGATAGAGGAAAGGAGGGAGGGAGGGAAGGAGGGAGCGGGGAGGGATCACGGTGATCCTGCTGTTGATGAATACGGTGACGAGGCGATCATGATAGTGGTGGTGATCATGTTGTTGATGACGATGATGGTAATGATGCTGATGTTGCTGCTGATGTTGTTGCTGAAGATGCTTCTGCTGATGACGGTGGTGATGGTGTGCATGGTGATGGTTATGGTGATGGCAATGATGCTGACAATGACGATGACGATGCAGATGGCTCCAGATATCGTTGACGACGTCATTGACGATGTTGTTGATGATGGTGATGATGAGGATGATGGTGACGATGCTGCCACTGTTGATGACGATGCTGCTGCTGCTGATGATGATGAAGCTGGTGCTGGTTCCTGATGACGGCCATGATGAATGTGATGACGCTTATGACGTTCATGACGCTGATGATGATATGGCGAGGATGATACTGCTGATGATGTTGATGATGATGGTGGTGATGATGAGGAGGAGGAGGAGGAGGAGGTTTCGGAGGATGACAAGGAAGATGGAATAGGCGGGCTACGGCGAAGATGAGGACGAGGGGATGGAAGGGGGACATGGTAGCGGAGGAGGGAGGAGGAGGAGGAGGAGGAGGAGGAGGAGGCGGAGGAGGAGGAGGAGGAGGAGGACGAAGAGGATGGGGAGAAGAAGGCGACATGAGGGAGGGGCCAAGAGGGCAGAGGGAGGACGCAGAGGCAGCATGAAGAGACATAGGAGAAGGGAGAGAGTTGGAGGTCGCCCCCGCCCCATCTACCCTTGCGAGCGCTGCGAGCGCACCCCCATCCCGTCGTTGAGGAAGAGCCGGAGGTTGTCGCGGTCGCGGCCGCCTTCCTGGCGTGCAAGGCATCCGGGATGGAGGGGGAGGGGGGGGAGGAGGGGGGGGGGAGGAGGGGAGGCGGACGAGAGGGAGGGAAGGAGGAGGAGGAGGAGGAGGAGGAGGGGGACCAGTGTAAACCAAGACTCATCGACGATGTTTGAATACACCCTCCTTCCAAGCTCCCGCTTCAGAGGTCCCTACAAGGGTTCATTTCCATTGAGGGAAGTGCCCCGTTTGGGGACAACCGTGAAAATCCTGACGCGTGCCAAAACATTAGTCTCAGGACTTCCACGCCACGAGTCAAACTGGCGCCTTGACGATCCCGAATCGTGTCCAAACACCACTCCGGGGTTATTCGGCATCGCGAGTCATGTTGCGTCATGGCAATCTTGAATCGTTCCAAGAGCCAGTGATTTCTTCGTTTGCAAATGTTTGACACGAATCTGCACGGCGTCAGTGCGAGGGCCACATTTTGAAGAGGTGCCGCCCTCAATCCGTGAAGTTATTGTAACCTTTAAAAGCAAATGCGCGCGGAACCAAGGCGAGAGCAACATTTCGAAAACGACCCTCCCTCGATCCGTGAAGCTGTTGCGAATGTTGACAGTGACTGCGCGCGGCGGTTAGGCGAGAGCTACATCTTGGAAGCGACCCGTCCTCCATCTGTGAAGCTGAGGCCAGATTTTCAGATTCAGGCTCATGAGTTATAAGGACGTCACAGGCGAAACGCCCAGCCCGCCTTGTCGACTGGCTTCGGGGTGCAACAGAGAGGAGTTAAACATATGGAAAAATCTGGAGGAGAAGGAAGGGAGGAGGAGGAGGAGGGGAGGAGGACGAGGAGGAGGAGGGCGATGGGTGAAGAGCGGGCGGAGCGGGAGTACGAGGAGGAGGAGGAGGAGAAACTGGAACTGTGCAAAGAGAGGGGGAGGTGGAGGAGGAGGATGAGAAGGAGGAGAAAACGGTGAGGAGGAAGATGAACATGATCATGAGTATGCGAATGATGAGAGGACTTTGGATGATGAGTATGGAGATTACGATGAATATGAAGATGATGATTACGATATGGGTGATTATGACAGTGATGATGTTGTTGCATGATGATGGTGACGATGATGACGGTTACGATGACGATGGCGATGCCGATCCTGAAGGTAATGATGTTGATGGTGGTAATGATGATGAGTTGTGATAGTGGTTACGCGGATGATGTTGGTGATGCTGACGCCAATGATGGTGATTGTGGTGGTGAAAATGTGGATGATGGCGATGGTGATGGTGATGGTGATGGTGATTGTGATGACGATGGTTATGGTGATGGTAATCATAATGGTGGTGGCTGGGGGTAGTGATGATTGTGGTGGTGATGCCGGTAATGGTGATGCAGTCAACACTCTTGACGACGGTGGTGCTGATGTTGATGGTGATGATGATGATGATGATGATGATGATGGTGGTAGTGGTGGTGGTGAGTATGGCGTCGACGAGGATGATGGCGACGATAACGACGACGACGACGACAATGATTATGCACATGGTGATTGTGACGATAGTGATGATGATGCTGATGATTCTGATACTGGTGATGAGAATGCGGATGGTAATGAGGATGTTGGTGATGTTGGTGTTGGTGGTGGTGATGATGAGCATGATGAGAGTGCTGATGATGATGGCGATGATGAGGATGCGAATGATGATGCTGACGATCATGATGATGGTGACGGTGACGGTAATGCGGAGTATGGTGATGATAGGTTGATGGCTTTGATGGTGATAGTGACGAGGGTGCTGATGATGATGAGCATGGTGTTGGTGATAATTGTGGCGATGATGATTCTAATGATGAAGATGGAGATGATGATGAGTCAGATGAGGCTGATTATGATGATGTTGGTTATGATGATTATGACGATGATGAAGAAAAGACAGGTGAGGATGATGACGCAAGGGAGGATGATGAGGAGTGGCAGCATGATGAATCATACTATCATGATGGCCAGGCAGCAACAGTGGCGGGAAAAGGAGGCGAATGGGCAGGACAACCAGATGTTGGCCATGATGGGAAATCGGGGGGGGGGGGGGCGATGACGAGGACGAGGAGCGGGGTGGGCATGACGGAAGATTATGTAGACAGGAAGAGCACGAAAACGGTGAGGGCGAGGACGAGCGGGAACAGCAGCAGGGTCAGGAGGAGGGGGGGTCAGGATATGTATATATATATATATATATATAGATATATATATATATATATGGACGGTGAGAAAGGTGAGTCTGATAGAATGCGCAGGAGTGCGTAGGAGGCACGGCAGGTGTGGGAATGGAAATGTCTGCCCTATATTGTTGCCGAGGCTCCCTCGTTCCTTGTCTGAGCTTGAACCTACACTGGGAAAACGGGGCAGGCGCCCCCGTAAAAAAAATGGTTCGAGCCACGTATTCTCCACTGAGTGCTGTAAACGTCCAGTCATCCCCATCTACTCACACCCCCTCTTATCCCAAACCCTTTTTACCCTCTGACATTGGTGGCCTCGCTAGCAGTGGACAGCATTGGAGCTCAGCCCGGTTAGCTTCTGGGTGGGAGAGAGAGAGAGAGAGCGAGAGAGAGAGAGAGAGAGCAGCATCGACATCCGTCGTCGTCATCGGTTGGGAGACAGCGGTCGCGGAGCTTATTCGGAAAGTTTGTGCCTTTCTGCGGACCGGCTGGCGACAGTGACGGGGCGAGCTGATACCTCTAAAGGAGGGTTCGGCTGCGGACGGCCAGAGGTCGCCCAACACGGCACTGGAGGCAACACGTCGGTGGAGAAGCGACGATGGACACTTCAGGACGAACGAAGAACAATCGAGGACCCTGCGCGAGGGAGTGCGTGCGAGGGCCCCCGTTCCCACGGCCACGGCATCGTCTCCCGCGGCGGACACGGTCTTCTCGCCAAGGCCCAGCTCTCGCGCAGGTCCTGCGTCCAGCGCGGGGCCCGTCTCGGGAACCTGCGGGGCGAGACCCAGGACAGCTGGATCCTCCTCCTCCTCCTCCTCCTCCTCCTCCTCCTCCTCCTCGTCATTCTCCTCCTCTTCCTCCTCCTCCTCCTCCTCCTCCTCCTCCTCCTCCTCCTCCTCCTCCTCCTCCGTCTAGCGCGGGACCCGTCTCAGGAACCCGCGGGGCGAGACCCAGGACAGCAGGATGACGGACGACGCGACGGCTGGGACACCCAAGACCCATGGCCCGAGGCGGCCGCTGCAGCCAGCGGCCGAACGACCCCAGCAGGCGCCAGGGACGCCTGGGCCGACGGGTGGAGGGAATGGGGATCATCATGGGACGTCGCCGCACGACACCTGGGGAGAGACGAGGGGCATGGACTTCACTGATCCCGAGACCTGGGCCGGCTGGGGCGAGTACAAGCGCGGAAACGCAAAGTAGTTCGCTGCCGGCGTCTCGCCGATTTTCCCAGACACGAGCATGAAGTTCTGCCCTCGGATATTCAAAACAAGATGGGCGACGTCGCGGACTATCGCTTGAAAAGCGCCCAGGGCGCGGATGATATGATAGACCGCTTTGATTTGTTTGGCGAATGGGTCGGCCACGAGAAAAGACAGACAGCCAGGGAGTGCATCTTCTCGTGCCACTGCCGACACGGAGGAAACCTGACTGACCGAGCATGCTACTCGGATATATCTGGCCTTCGACAAGATATCCACTCTCGGCCTCGCCCTACCGGACGAATGGAAGCATATGTTCCTGGAAGAGGGCGTTGGATTGAACGAGAGAGGATCTCAGCTGATGAAGGTTCTGATGAAGGAGAAGGACTCTTACCAGGAGGGTCTCAGCGCGATCAGAGAGATGGACATCACGCGGCGAGGACTCGCACTTACCACGCGGGCGGCGCAGCACAAAGTGAGCCCAACATATTCTGCCGAGAGCTCTAATTGGAAAGGCCGCGACTCTATCAGACAATTTTGACGCGTCCTCGCTCAATGCAGACGACGGGAACGATATCTACCTCACCGTCGAGGGCCTGCATCTCCATGACGACGAGCTCCCGCAGGTTTTCGCCACCATGCAGGAGGAGAGAGGAAAGACCTGGAAGCAACACAGAGATCTGAAAAGAAAGCGCTGGGTCGATCGCACATTCGTCGACCGCAGCAAGGAGGCGACGACCGCCGCCACCACCGCGCACGCGAAGAAGGATCAAGGTCGGAAAGGATATCGAGCCGCCAACGGACAGTTTCGACTTCGGAAATGCCTCCATTCCTTGTCAGAACGCATCAAGCGAACCCGATATCGAGTACGCGATGAAAAATGTCAGTGGCCACGTGGGTGCCCCCGGCGGAACGGCCGGCCATCGGGCGCGAGCGCAGCCGCATCTGGGTTCGCGAACGCCGCGAACTTCGTCGGCTACGTCCTCGCCAACATCACTGACCCGGCCAGGAAGGGCGACGACGAGGAGCCATCCCTGATCGCGTTCCTGACCGCGCCGCCCGGGGGCGGCGCCGCGGGCGCGGCGGCGGCGAAGGGGCCTCATCGGGGTGCCCTCGCTGGGAAGACACGCGAAAGTTCTGGGTCGGGTAGGGCTTCGGCTTCCGTCGGTTCTCCCTCGCAACCTCCGAGCTCGAATGGTCGGCGGAGGCGCCGCGGCGCAGAGCGCGGCCCTTTTGCGGACCAGTTAGGACGGGAGGTGGGGGTCATGGAGCTGGATGTCCTTCATGGGCCCCCCCCGCTCCTCCCAGTGGGCCTCGAGCCGTTGCCGGGCGCCGAGATAGATCTAGACCCCGACATGTTGAGTTTGTGGCGCCTTGGGGTCAAGACGCGCACGCGCGAGCTTCCCAGCGGTCGCAGGGCCATCAATTTTGCAGATTTCCAGCCAGGGGCAGATTTCAAGCGCCCAGCGTCGGCGCTGGGGCGGCGCCCCATGGAGGCGGACTTTCGACGCCAGCCAGTCCCGACTTGCACTTTTCTCCCGCCGGCCCTCCCCTGCGAGGCCTCGGATTCGAAGAGGGCCTGGGGGGGGGCCCTTGCGAGCGCCGCCCGGGGCCGGGCCCTGGA